AGTGGCAGAGCCAGAGGCTTAAGGATTGATGGTTTAGCGCCACAAACAGAAACTTGTCAAGCTAGTTTAAGCAAAGGCGGATTTGTTATAAAGGAGCTGGGATGTTTCCCAGAACTCAAGGGTAAGAGTTACAGTGAGGCCTCATGCGGAGATGGAACTGGGGCCTGGAGAGCCACCAGACCAAGACAGCTACTTTCTCTTTGTCCTTCACAGACTGTCTCTCATCACTGCTCCTCTCTCACCATCTGCCACCCTCCTGCCTCTCTCTGTATCTTCAGATTGGCTCTGTCTCCTCTTGCTCATCATGGTCCATGGTAGCATCATGGAGACTCCAAAATGGCATCCTTATTCCTCCCAACTACAGCACTTTACAAGTCAGATACCCACAATGACTCATCATAATCATGTCCACTAACTCCGAGTTCTTACGGAAGAGATCCTGATTAGCCCAGCTCATGTCAGGTAACCACTCTCAATCACATCAGTTACAGTCAGGGAGGATAGGAAGTGGATTACAAGGGGTACAAACGTGGCTACAGGAGAGGTGATTCTCAAAGAAAGAAGCATGGACTCAGCGGGCAACTTCAAAAGGTGTCTTTTAGGGGCTGGCCTGGTGGCACAGCGGTTAAGTTCAGACGTTCCGCTTTGGCGGCCTGGGGTTCACCGGTTTGGATCCCGGGTGCAGACATGGCACTGCTTATCAAGCCATGCTGTGGCAGGCGTCCCACATATAAAGTGGAGGAAGATGGGCACGGATGTTAGCTCAGGGCCAGTCTTCCTCAGCAAAAAGAGGAGGATTGGAGGCAGATGTTAGCTCAGGGCTAATCTTCCTCAAAAAAAAAAAAAAGTGCCTTTTACAGTTGACATTCCATCCCGGATGTTCTGACTGCAAGTCATATTTTTTTCTATCCCACACTGCTTTATCTCAAGCTAGACATATCCAAAATCAAGGTACACCCCTTTAAACAAGCTCCTCTTATTTCCCGATTTCAATTAATGACTTAACGTCAGTTCACTCCCCCAGCTTAACATTTCAAAGTTGACCTAAATGTCTCTTTCTCTTTAATACCTTACCCCTGACACCCTGCCCTTCCAACAGTCAAACAGTCTTCTGGGTTAGTCCATTTTCCATGCCAAAGGATCAGCCACTGTGGTTCAAATGCAACAGTGACATAAAGCCCAAGAGTCAAGTTTGCTGATGAAAGATTGATTAACTAAGCTATTTTGGACTGAATCAAGAAAATTGTAGGAACAATTGCTATTATGAATGTAAAAAAGAAAACTATTAGCAGATACAGAACAACTCAATGAGTAACTTTTGTCAGGTGCGGGGTTGGCCGTGGATTTGGTCTATTTGTTAAACCTGAGCTGATGAAACAATTGGGAAGGAGATGAAAGTAAAGAAAGGGTGAGCAACTGAGATGGTGCCTGGTGGTAGAGGACAATTAGCTGAAGACATGGTGGATGGATGGAAAGGAACACTCCAGCATCAGTTAGATTCTCACCAAAACAAAGGTGGCCATTCTGGATTGATGTCCCCAGTAGTGTGCTGGTAAATGTTTAACAACTGGCCACTCAGGAAGAAAAGCCTCAAATTTACACCAATTTCTGTGGCGTAAACATTCCCATCGTGGCCAATTTCAAACTACCAACCTAACCTCACTGAATGAAGAATTAGGAAGAGATGCTTCCAGCTCATTCTCATAAGCCAGGAAGACTTGGTTCCAGCACACCGCTGGATGTCGCTGACCTTCCTGGCTCTCAGTACGTCCTAGAAGGAAGAGAGCTTCAATGTACCAAGAATGAAGAGCCCTCGCTTCAGCCAAATAAACTGACACTGGGGTCTTTCCATTAGTTAAAAAAAATCTATTCCGAGATCAACTATCTCTCCAATCTTGCCGTGAATCAATTTGTAATTTAGTATACGTTATGAGAAATGTACAAGACAGACTTTGAAAAGGGCTTTTGAAGAACAGAGGAAGAGGGGAGAGGAAATCCCTGTTGGTTCGAAAGAGCTGGAATTTGATCTGAATTTAGTAGAAAGTAGTAGAGGAGGAGAAGAGGCAGTTCCAGGCAGTGGGACTAGGTTGAGACTGAGGTGGGGAGCAACGGCATATTTGGGAACGGTAGAGTCAAGGGGCAGGGCAGTAGGCAGGTGTGGATGGGTAGAGGGGTGAGCTCCAATAAGGCTGGCTGGGGCAGCTTGTGGGAGAACACAGATGCTTCTGCAGCATTCTCTAGCTACCCTGCCCTACTTCTCTACTATGAATGTTTGCAGAGTTTTTTAAGCTCTGCTCTAATCTTGATCAATTACCTCTTTATTTGACTGAAGTCTAAGTCCATTGCTTTCCTTCCATTCCATCTGCTACCTCCCCCAAATCCAGTCTCACGTTTCTTTATTGTCTCTTTGCCCACATCCTTCTCACTTTCATCCTCATCAGTCCCCCAACACACGTATGTACACACACACACTTACACGCTCACTCATAGCCCTGCCACCTCATCCAAAGACCACACTGCCTCCAGAGTAATCTCCATCAAATGCAGCTCTGACAAAGTCCCCCTGTAGCTAGATAAACCTGCAGAAGCATGGGTGGCTCCCCCAAGGCTGACCCAGCCGACTTTATTCGAGCTCACCCCTCTACCATCCACATCTACCTGCTCCTGTCCCTTGACACTATCGTTCCTGAACACACCACTCCCCGCCTCAGTCTCCGTCTAGTCCTGCTGCCTGGACTTGCCTCTTCTCCTCCTGAAATCCAACTCTTTTATGCCAGCAGGGATTTCCTTTCCTCTATTCTCCTTCTCAAAGTCTGCATTGCACTCTTCTTATAAGATATACTTCACACTAGATTGTAGGTTCCTTAATTAAATGCATCTATTGTGAGTGGACCCCATCTTGTTTCCCTAGACTCAGCACCTACTTAGCATCTTGCATATTAAATATGTAAGACAGAAACTGCTAACTGTCCCCTAACATCCAGTCTCTTCTTCTCTCGTCCAGTAACAGAAGGGCTGCTTTTTAGATGCGCACATGGCCACCTAGAGTAAAGATTACACTTCTGAGCTTGCCCTGTGTTAGTCAGCTGTGACCCTGTGCCTAGGTTCTGGCCAAAGGGAAGTGCACCAAGGGGCGTGTGCAGCTCCGGGGTTTGCCCTTTACAGGAAGGAATGCACCCTCCCGTTCCTCTGCCCTGCCCGTCTCTGGCTGGGGTGCAGATGTGCTGGCCAGCCACATTGGTCCAAATAGATGTGAGCAAATCACACTCCTATCAGGAGAGAAGAAAGATAGAAAGAGCTCATCCCAGCTTATACAGAGCCACCTTCCAAGGCAATTGAGCTGCTTAGGTGCATTCCGTTACACAAGAGAGAAATACTCTTCAGTCACTGTCATTTTGGGTCTGACTTAGAGCCTCATTCATGTTTAATTGCTACTAGGTGTTTAATACAATGGACAGTGGATTCTAGGTTTGTACAGGAAATAAGAAAATTGAGGGGATCTTGCTTCATGTGTTTAGATTCAAGTTTTAGGCAACCAGGTCTCACAGGACCCATCCCAGGATGCCTCTGTCAAACACAACACTCATTAGAAACTGGGCTAACCCTTACTTACTTTATTGATTAAAGGCTCTTATCTCAAAATCAAATACACCCCGATTGTGTCAGAAATCATCACAAGGAGGCATGGATGAGCGTGGCGATTCTCTTCTCCTGAAGTGTGGCCACTTGGGGGAATTCAAATAAGGACTAGATTCACCAGAACAGTGTGAGCCAGCGTGGCTGCTCCTCAAGGACCAGCAAGCAGTCTTGCAAAAACTCCTAAACACAGAGCGTCCTTTGACTGTCTTCTGTGTTTAATCTTCTAATTATCTCAAGTGACAGGACGGCAAGGAGTCAGAGCATCAAGCTGATGAAGAAACGTTTCCTCATCTGTTGATGCAGCCACTGGTGACCTGCCCCCGTCTCGCAGCTGATCCTCCAAGAGGCTCACAAATGAGCAGGCAAGCTCCTACCCAAGGCTGCTCCTGGTCCTGGGGCGAGGGGCCACGGCATGGGATGTGCCCTGTCATTTAGCGGAAGTCACCTAGGCCTCCCTGAATGGCCAACGCCCCTAACCACTGGGCTTGCATCACACTCCTTACAGGAATTGTGTACCACATGTCAAGTGAAATAGGAGATACAGGAAATGAGCCAGATTCCTGGGCTTGAGGGAGAGCTCATTGTTAACCAGAAGGGGACAGAACGAGAGCAGCCACACATGGCATTCCAAGCCCTTGGCAAAAGACACAAAGGAAGGCTGTATCCGCCCATTCTAAAGACAGTTTAGGACTCGGATTCTGCAGAGCTAACTTCTTTTCCGTTTCCCTAGGCAAGAAACATTGAAAATTCAAAGTTGTCTCTCTGTGTGTGTATATGTGTGCATGCATTTTCAACATGGCTGGCTGGGGATCAAACAGTCTGAGGGTTCTGTAGACATTTAAGAGACAAAGTGGGCTCCACGGCAGACAAAGCCAATTCTGGAAAGAAGTCCAAACGTGAGGGCTGGGAAGGGCCCCTGACTCAGCGACTCAAACCAGGCATCCAGCCCAGCCCTTTCAGAGCCCCGTTTGTGGCATTTAAGATTGGGGTGACAGGATCCGCAGGGAGTCTGAGCATCCAGGTTGGGGGTTGCCCACATAACCTCATCCTCCTCAAACCTGAATCACTCCCCCTTGGGTCCAATTGACTTAAATCACTTATTTTCTCCGGTGGTTTCTTTATGACTCTAATTGCTCTAAAGTCGTCCTTTCCCCAAAAGCTGTGTGCCTTAGGCAGAGACTTAGCTCCTCCGATAGGGTTGGAGGCCTCCTGGGGGCAGGGCCTTCGCCATCTTTCTTTTCTCCCTCCAAAACATGTTGCACAATGCAACCCAGGCAACTTAATAAATATTTGATCAGTTGGTTTGATTTTCCGTGAAAGGATTCCTTTTCTCTGCCCTTCACAAAACAAATAATAGCATCCAGTCACCACGACTATCAGATCCAGAAGGCATTTGCTAAGCACTGGATCCTTGTTCTCAATTGTGAGACCACAAAGCAGAGACGAGCATGCTGAGGTCCCCTCTGTGGGGCCCGAGGCAAACTGCCTTCCCCTCCTTGTCTCCAACCTTCCTGGTTCCCAAGAGAAAGCCAGTGAACAACTCAGTGAGTATTACTGCCTTGAAACGATGAGGAGGGAAATTACGCGATGTAGGTCACTTCTTCACCATTGCTGGTGAAGGCCCAAACCTGGAACACGGCCATTACTCCTCAGAACAGACTGCACAGGCCCGCCGCCTCTCGGCAGGAGGCGTTCATGAGTGCGCCAGAGCACCGGCCACCTTCGCTGGGCAGGTTGGCCTCGGGGGCAGGAGGAGTGGAACACTGTGGGGACAGGACTTCTTCCTACAGGAAAAAACCTGGCTCTACACAAAATGGCTTCCTATCAGAGCCGGAGGACGAGGGGGCTTTTGCCTGGTGACAGCAGAGGAACACTGACCTTTTTGCTTTCCCCCCGGCAGGCAGAGAGTCCATCATCAGGCCCCAGATATCTCCAGAAGCTCCAGCCACTGGTCTGCGTATGTGCGGTGAGCAGCCTGTTCCCTGAGGTGTTCCAGGCCAGCCCCTTTTCACCTCTGTATGGGGGAACAGCAGGAGGCCCAGGGCTCACTCCGTGGGGAGAGGGGGAGCATGTTTTCATCAGCCCCCTATACCCTCTTGCTTGCTCATCCACTCCAGTCACTCCAGGCTCCCACAGGTCCTCACACATGCTGGGTTTGTCCCCACCTCAGGCCCTTTGCACATGTCCCTCTGCTGGGAATGCTGTTTCCTCAGATATCCTTACAACCCTCCCTCCTCGCACTCAGGTTGCTTGAATATCACCGCAGAGAAGTCCTCCCTGCCACTTGCTCCCCACATCCCGCCCCCCCAGCAATCCTGACTCCTCTTTCTGGTTTTCTTTCCTCTGCACACTTTATTGTTGCCTGACATACCATGCACATTTGTCTGCTGCCTCCTTCCCACTTTGGCATGTACGTTCCACGAGGGCTGTTTTGGTCTCTGTTGCATCCTCAGCACCTAAACGGTGCCAGGCAAATAGTAGATGTTCAAATGGACTAAAAATATATATTACATAAACCAAGGACTTGTCCTCACTATTATTGTTACCAGATAGGGGAATAAGTCACCCTTGGCATCAGTAAGGGGCCGTAATCCTTGCAGGAGACCTCTGCTAGAGAGGAGTACGTGGTAAGCACCGCCGTGGCTGAGTGGTGACCCAGCAGATCACTTTGCTAGTGTGCTAGGGCCACCATGACACAGTACCACACACTGGGCAGCTTCAACAGCAGAAGTGTCTCGTCTCACAGTTTTGGAGGCTGGAAGCCTGAGATCAAGGTGTGGGCAGGATTGGTTCCTTACAAGGGTTGTGAGGGAGATCCATCCCAGACCTCCCCCTGGCTTCTGGTGGTTTTCTGGCAATCTTTGGCGTTCCTTGGCTTGTAGAAGCATCACCTCGATCTCCGCCTTCATCTTCACATGGCGTTGTCTGCGTGTCTGTATCAGATTTTCTCTTCGTATTAGGACACCTGTCATAGCAGACCATCCTAATGATACTTGTCATATTGGCACAGCTTAATGACCTCATCTTAACTAATGACATCTTCAACAACCCTCTTTCCAAACAAGACCACATGCTGGGGAACTGGGAGTCAGGACCCCAATGTATGAATTTTGAGGAGGGGACACAGTTCAACCCGTGACACTCCCCATCTTATCCTGAGACAGAAAGTTTGCCTGATGGGACCATCCAGTCCTTATGTCCATCTTACTGCTGGCCAAGGGAAGGAACATGGACGTCAGACAGAGCTGGCCAAAGACCAGCCTAGGAGCCTGTCTCCACCTTCCTCAGGCCTCCCCTTAAGATGACCATTGTCCTGGCAGTGTAAACCTCGGAGGCCTCTACTGCCTGCGGCCTGGAGGGAGGCCCTCTGCCAGCTGCCATCCTGCAGTCCTTGGGGTGGTTGTCCACCCCTCAGCTGGACCCCAACTGATTCACCAGGAAGGACAATTCCAGGCCTTTTTATGTCCAGCGACAGCCCCTCACTGGTGGGAGCTTGTCAGCACCCCAATCTGGACTTTGCACAAACAGTGCTCCTTCGTGAAAACATCTACCCTGAAAAGCCAGAAAGTGGGAAATAGGCTCAAATGAATCGTTCCAGCCAGTGGGGGCTCACTGAAGGGGGGCTCAGATAGCATCCACTTCCGCCCGCAGTTGCCGATGGGCCAAGAGGAATTTCCAGAGAGCCCAGAGCGGGTGAATCTGCCAGCACCTAACTAGGACACCACACGCACAGTTTCTGATACAAACACTTCGAGAAATAGAAATGACAAGATTCACCCTGAGCGGCAACCTAACAGGACATGGACCTTTGACAGCCTCAGTGGGGGCTGTTCCAGAGCTGTTCCATTAGCATCAGCGTGTGAACGCTGGTCCCCACCTCCCTGTCATGAGCCCTGTCCTCGGTGTTTTATAAGCTGGAGTACATCGGTGGGGCAGGCTCCCCAAGAGCTTCACACACGCTTTAATTTGTGTGTATTTGCCCCTAGAAGGAGCGGTGAAGAACACAGGATGCTTTAGTTTTTACAACCCACGACATTCTGATTTACCAGAACTAGAACGGGAATAATTGAAAGGCAATGCTGTGAGCCTGGACGTGTGATCCCAACAAAACGTGTGCCCCAGTTTCCTAAAACTGTCTACAAATAATGCTTCCATCTCGGCTGTGGCCAGGGTCAGAGGAGAAAACGCTTATGCCCTGCACCTAGTAGGTCCTCACTAAATGCAAAGAGAGTCTCAATTGAAGGAGGAAAACCTTCCAGCGGTTTGCAGGAGCGTTCAGGAAGCCCCACCCTGGGCTGCTTTCGCCCTCCTGCCTTCCTGTAGCGGGGTAGGGGGAAATGGGCTGTGGGGAGCCTGCTGCAGCCAGAGGCAGGGGACCAGGAGGATCTCAAAGTTTCCAGCACTCCCTGGGCGGCAGGGTGCTTCTGGGGCTCCCTTCCTCCTGCCCAGATTTAAATGACAGTACGAAATTTGCATTTAGTCCCCTCTGGGCCTGGCTCAGTGACCTAAGCCTCAGGTTTGAAATACTTCTGCTTCCGGAAACTGCAGGTTCAAATCCCAGAGGGTTTCTGCTCACCCTGGCATTCTTCTGAGACAGATCATTTGAATAAATGCAATTTAGTGACAGCAGCCCTTTCAGAGGAGGCCTCTGGAAAGGCGAGATGGAGGCCCTGTGGGAGGGCATGGAGGGTCAGAGCTTCATCCAGGTTTTCCCCACGTCCTTGCAGATGTCAAGCGTGCACTTAAAACTTTGGGGAAACGGGAGAAAGCTCACAGCGGATGCTGTGCCAAGGCCTGGACTCTCCTTGTCTTTACTTGTGAATCCTCTGTCATTTGCTTTTTCCCAACTCTCTCTGCCCTGCGAGTGGACATATTTCAAGAAGGGGAGCGCTTCTGCCTCAACTCTTTTCCAGATCTGGAGAAGGGTCTATCCCTCCAAGCCACAGCCATAGGAGGGATAGTTTAGCTCAGTGGTTACAGCTGTAGACGCTCCACCACCACCACCCCCCCTCCCCCCCACTATCAGGTGACCTGTATGTAAATCCTGGCTTCTCCAAGTCCTACCTGTGTGGCCTGGGGCGTCTTCCATGGCCCACACCAACAACTACACTGGTCTCTGCATGTTTCAAAACTTCCCGTGTTATTGACTCTAAGGCATTGCCACATGCCCCACTGCCTGAGCTTGGGGACTTAGGATGAAGGCTCTCCCGGAGATCGCCCACAGCCCAAGCAGGGAAGCAAGGAAACACCAGAGCCAGCAAAGGCTTCCTAACTTTTGAGATAGACACTCGAAAGTCACTTCAATGATACTCCCTAAACTCCCCAACGTTTCCCACAGCCAGTGACAATTTATATGGCTTTTTAGGGGTCACCGTTCTCAGGGCTCTGAGTATAAAGGGCTATGGAGAGACACCAAACAGGGGAGAAAGAGAGGGACCCTGTCTCAGTTGGAGTCCCCAAGAAGATAGAGATGGGTTAGCGTATGGGATGTTGCTTAGGGCTTGTTCCTGGAATCAATGCCTGCAGAGGAAAAGGGAAAGAGCAGGTCGGGCAGAGGGAGAGGTTGAGCGGTCATAAGGTCTCAACGGAGGCCTCAGCTGACGTACAGGGAGCTGGGGTGCCCTAGAGAGTTGTCCTAAGCTGGGAGGGAGCCAGGCCTTTGTACTTCCTGTGTGGATTAGTCATTAGACACGGGCTGCTCCCGGAAGGGGCCTGGCTCTGGGCAAGGCAGCTCTCCCAGCAGAGGCAGTGTCCAAGCAGTGCCGATAGCTGAGGACTCTCTTCCAGGAGGCATGCCCCCGACTGGGAGAGTAAGCCCTCCAGGCACAGGGGCTTACAGCAAGGACCACAGGGTCCACCACAATCCCCCACCCAGCTGACCTCTTTCTTCATGAGTAGAAATATCATTCACCACATTTTGGGGACCAGAGATCTTTCACCATTAGCACAATGAAAAGAGAGGATTTCCTTTTGGCCAGGGGTACTCCCAGGCTTAATCCTCCCACTGAATCTAGGACTGTGCACCAGTCACTCAATTCACTGGCAAACAGCAGCAAGATTTCAAATTGTAGAGTCCTGAGTTAGAAGGGAACCAAAAGGTCACATGATGGAACTTTCATCCAAGGCAAAGACCCCCATTGCCTCCCCAGCAAATGGTCTTCCATCCTCTGCCTGACTGTTCTAATGCCTGGACTGGGGCAGGGGCTCCCTCTACCCCGGGCCTGACACCTGTATTTATTAACAGTCCTTTCTAACATTATTATCAACATCCCAGGAAAGATCACTGGTAACTCATAAGACAAATCCCTCATTTGCGTAGATGATCCTTCAGCTATCTGAAGACAAATATTCTGTTTCTTTCCATGGGTACCATCCATGCACTTACCCAACATCTGTTCACTCATTTGACTCACGTTGCCCTTGTGCCTTCTGTCAAGCCCTTTCACGGACATCGAGTTATTCAGTCTTCATAAGAGGATAAGGATAAGAATAACGCTGATGGGTAGTTTACATCCCTGGCTCTTGCCCTGGGAAATCAGGGAAGGTTTCACAGAAGAGGGAGGCACTGAGTTGGATGTGGAAGAATGACTGGGATTCCAGAGGGGATGGCATTCCAGGCTGGGGGAGTAGGGCTTATGAAGACCTGGAGCGTCAGAGAGCTTGGCACATTTGGGGAAAACCTGTCATATGACTAGAGTGGTGGTTCTTAACTGAGGTCATTGCTCCCAGGGGGACATTTGGCAATGTCTGGAGTCATTTTTGTCACAACTAGAGGCAGGTACTACTGGTATCTAGTGAGTTGAGACCAGTAATGCTGCTAAACATCCTACAATGCACAGGACAGCCCCCACAACAAAAAGTTACCCGGCCAAAAATTTCAATAGTGCTGAGGTTGAGAAAACCCAGGCTAGAGCTTGGGGAGAGGGCAGGGACGGTGACTGGGGAAACTGGAACCAGATTCTGAAG